TTTAATTTTGATCAAATATATATAAAAAAAGAGAAATTATTTCTTACTCCCAGGGAGTAGTTACTCACATGTCTATATCTCTAGATTTATGGTGTATATAGCCCAACGAAATGTATGTAGATAAAGTATAAGATCATACTACTAGACCATCTAGGATAATATTTACGTCAAGTATGCAAGTATACATGAAGTATATGGTTATACCTATTTTATATACTACTATAATGGTATTATAATAATATATTAAAAAATATAGGTTCTTTCGGAAAATATCACGTAGTAAGATTTGGAGTATCACAAAATGAGTATATAAACATACTTAAACTGATAAATGAGTATGCAAACATACGCAATGTGGTTTATTGAAGATGGGAGTTACTACTCCTAGGAGTAGGGAAAATGCACCCAAAAATTATTAATATTTATAATACATAATTAGTATTATTAGGTGGATCGTTGAATATACTTTCATAATAAATTTATTTGGAGATATAAATGTTGCAAGTATTTTCTACGGATCTAGTCAAGAAAGTTTGACCTGCTAACATATGTTCCTGAACTTAATATCTCTGCAATCTTACTGTCCTACTGCTATCAGTGTATGCACTCATTCTTTTCCTGTTTGAACACCATACATTAGCTTCCTCCCCCCCTCTCTCTCTCTCTGCCCCCGTCTCTCCCTCCTCAACCACACTCTTCATATCACCACAGGGTGCAGGATGCGGCACATGACAGTGGTAATTACATAAATTAAATGTGCTACAAGTGGTAACCAAACAGAGAGTCATCAAATAAATTAAATTTGCTACAAGTGCAAAAAAATGAGCATTCAGGTAAGTGGTAACCAAACAGAGAGTTAAGATCTCTATGGTCAGCAAATGAGCATCACCCACCAGCACAAGAACAAACCAAGAAGAAAGGAAGGCATCAGAAAGAGTGACAGAGCAGTAAACCATGACTGGATCATTTAACTGAAACAGAGTTTGATATGCAGTCTCTCATGAGCTGAAATTAATTATATCAGTATCTCAATGTTGTTTAATGACCTTGTCCCCTATATATAGCCCGGAGTGTGATTTTCGATGTTCACCTTATGAACACCAGCACACTAAGACCGGCATTAGCCACGCTAATGCTAAAGATCTATCCCACTATAAGGCTCATGCTATTTATCATTTCCATTGCTACCACCAACAAATTTCCCATTGCCAAGAAACCCCACGGTGTGCACCTTAATTCTGTCAAGCACTTGAGCAACTCGGTTCCTCACCTGTTTAAGGCTGCTCGTAATACTGCAAAAAAAAAAAAACAAAACAAATGTCAGCAGACTGAGAAGAAATCAATTCCCCTTATTAATTAAACATTTTTTCTATGCTAGCACAAAAAAAAACTAAAGCTGATGCTTAAGTGCTAATGGCTAACAGAACATGCACGTAACAACAACATTCTCCACCAGTTGAAAGTTGAAACCCACACTTGGTCAAGATGGCAGACTTCGTTGTTTGGTATAAATCATGATCCACTTCTATGTTGTTAAGTGACACCATGTGACATATCATATACAAGTGCACAATGTTAAATACTGTCAGGGATTACTCATGGATGAGCCGTCGTATGGGTAATGGGCCTTGGCCTTGGCATGTCGAGCATTGGCCTGGACCACAGGCCGTCACCTACAAGATCGCAGGAGAACCAGCTGGAAAGATCATCGATCCACGTTTGCTTCGCTGAAAAAATAAGTCGAAATACTATTCCGTTTGATTCGTTGTGATAGAAAAATAATATTTCAATTAAAAATATAAGTTGAAAAATACGAATTAACAAACGTGTCGCTAGCATCTGATACCAGAGCTCCTACTGCTGTTCTTCTAATTCTCCTCTATTCTCTACAAATCCCTGAGCTCCTACTGCTGTTCTTCTAATTCCCCTCTATTCTCTACAATCCAGCTACAGGTTGCTAACGTCTGGTACCAGAGCCGTCGATTTTGGTCCTCCCCATGGATCCTTCTACCAAGCTTGTCCTCGACGAGATGCGCAGGCTCTTTGCCGAGCACAATGCGTATTTGGATCGGCGATTCGCCGAGCACAACGCGTCGATCGCGCCCACGCCCGCACCATCCCCGGCCGTTTCGGTCGCCACCGTGCCCGCGCTTTCCGCCGCCACACCGGTCATGCCCGCTATCGCAGTTTTCGCCGCCGCCTGAGTCAGGCCCGTGCCAGCGCCTTCCGCCTCCGCCTGCGTTGCGCCGCGCGCTATCTCCCTCGAGCTCGCCGAGACCGCCGCACTCTCCCGCATCCTCGCCGTGCAACCGGGCCCCCTCCGCTGCGTCCGCTTCCACTCTGACGACGAATGATTCTCACCGCCACTGTCTGCCGTTCCAGCGGGCCCGCTGCACCCGGCACTCCGCACCGTCGCCGCCGCCTTGCCCGTGCCCATGCCGGTGCCAGCGCCGCTGCCCCGCCAGATCCTCTGCTCGCCAGGAGTCGCTTGAGGAGGTGGAGGAGCAGGAGGCCCGATACGGCAAAGCCGGATGGACGAGGGGTGCGCAGCCGCGGAGGACATCGCCGTCTACCTGGGCCACGATGACTGCCCCCACAATGACGGCCAGTCACTGCTCGGCTGCGAGACCATCTCCTTCGAGTACGCCAACTCGTTCCCGTCCGAGCTCTCCGTCCGTGTCGCCACCTGCATCGACCCCACCATGCCAACTACATTTAGGCCTGCTTCCATCTCCATTCAAGCGCAAGTGGTGTTTGACAAAATGCCAGAAGGTACAACACTATCGTCTACCCTCCCCACTCCAATGGAGTTGCTGCGTTTGGACCTATCTCTGTCGTTCAAGAGGCCCCTGAGGTGTTTGAGGAAATGGCTAAGGGCCCGTTCGTTTAAGGCAGTATCACACCAGGAAATATTCCAGCTAATGAAAACTAATGTAAATTAACTAATAATTTCTGCCGGGAATTCTTCTGGGGGACCATTCCGGAGCAAGCGAACGGGCCCTAAGCATATTTTAGAGATACTGTGGCCACCTCCCATGCATATGTCAAACATGCTATGTACTGCCTGTGTACCCTCAGCTCAATCCTTGGTTGACAAGAGCGTACAGAGTTGTTTCTCGCCTCCATCCTGTCGTAGCTAGGATGCAGTGCCGCATAGGCAACCATGGCCACCACCAGAGCAGTTTGGGATGCAGGGCAATGGAGTTCAACTTAGGCCAACACCCTGGCCATCTTTCATCGGTAACACAGTTCAAGTGGCAGACCTTATCAAGTGGCTTTGCTGCAATTCAGAGTGCACAGTTGCGGGACCTCTCTTTCGTTTGCATCTCATTACAACTAGAAGAGTCAGGATGCTGGTGATGAACTGGGACTGTATCTGGTTCAAGGTCCATTGGCCACTACCTGCATGTGTTTGTGGGACTGTACGTAACATGATTTTTCTCTTACATAATGGTGCTAGTATACTGCTTGTCCCTGTTACAGAAAGTACCTGGTTCCAACTGTTTGGGAAGGCAATACAACATTCCTCATGTGCAGCTGATTTTTGGGGGGTGTTTGAATTGAGTGTCAGGAACACAGTATTAGGGGGGCTCTTGTTAAATACTCATCAGTTGTGTTTCAGTCAATTTTGGCAGCTCACAGAGCCATCTTTACCACACAAGTATTTTAAATGGGAAATTATTGAGCGTGTGGTCCAATGTGGGCAGCATTGCCATGAATTACTCAAACCTGCAGGGCAAGTAGACAAGTTCAACAAGGAGCTTCTGACATGTATATTGGTGCTATTAGTGAGTATGGTTGGCTATGCACTGATTCTAGAGCTAGTACAACGGAAGTGTGGTGGCAAGTGTCGGTGTTTCTTGCTTGAAGGTAATCGGCTAAGGGATATTGGTGAAGCTTTTGAATGTCTAGTGCTTTTCCAGCGTCAATTGGGGCCTCCACCTCTGCTACTTCTGCTGTTGAGCGATATGCATATTTTGACTCTGCTGCCTTGGTTGTTCTTTAGTATGGTTGATGGTTATTGGATGATTTGGTATTTCTGTTTTCCTTGGAAGCCCCCATGGACTTGGACGCCCCAATGCTTACCTTCAGTTCGACGGCTAATCAGTGGTCGTGGTGATCTGGGAGCAGTAACAAGGAAATTGTCCTATTCCTACCAAACTGCTGTAGTGGTAGGGCAAGGATTCAAGCCCTAGAATGAGATTTCTGTTCATGTCACGATGATGACAACATTGAAACCAGTCGATCAATCTTCTGAACATGTTCCTCGTCTTCTTCTGCTACTGAACTCATCATAGTAAAATTGATCGATGGGACTCCAGTGAGAATATGGGAGTTGGTTGATCGATCATCAGGCCATGGAATTCCCTGGGTTCTCTTTTTGGCTATTGCTTCTGTCTATGGGTACTGGAACTTGCAGTGCATTCTAGCATTATTCAGCTTGTACTAGCCTATAAGTTTTGATAAGGAGGTGGGGCTTGGCTGCTTGATTTGGAATATACACATGAGCAGAGTTGTTGAGTGTTTGTATCATGATTTTTTTGGTACTCCACTGTTCATTAGTATGAAAGCAAAGGACTACGGCAGGAAGAACATGCATAGTCCAGCCGCTGAAGCTCTCATTGCCAAACTTCTGAAGGACGCATCTGCTGAATGTTTAGTAAGCTCTAGTTAGATGATGAAAGGATTCTATCGTATTGCTGAGAGTTTTGCTGCTATCATTCTTGCTATACCATCTGCCAAGTCGGCAAAGTCTGAACCAACTGTGACGCATGCTGTAGCTCCACATGCCCTATCCAAAGATACTGGAAGACAACTTTCCAAGAAGGAATTGAAGAAACACATGATCGTCCAGTTTCCTTGGGATCCTAGTGGTTCCGATCTTCTCCATCGGCTTGGGGGCAAACCGAAGCTTAAGAAGGGGGGAATGTTAGGGATTACTCATGGATGGGCCTTCATATGGGTAATGGGCCTTGGCCTTGGCATAGTCGAGCATTGGCCTAGATGTCAAGCATTGGCCTGGACCACAGGCCGTCACCTACAAGAGCGATCATCAAACAACAGAATACAAACAGGTTTCTTTCCTCTCAAGTCCTCTCTCTCTCTCCACTGTTCATCTTCCTCCCAAATCCCTGAGCTGCTACTGCTGTTCTTCTAATTCCCCTCTATTCTCTACAATCCAGCTACAGGTTGCTAACAAATACATGCATGTGTGCGGCTGATAATTGCATTGTAAAAAGATAGATCATATATGTACTAGGAACGGCCATTTAAGGTATTCCCAGCCCAAGAAATTCCTACTGTGCATGTCTAGCCGATTAATTCCAACACTGGTCATAAAAGAAAATACGACTATAGGCGTATCACATTGGGAGAACATACAATTTTGTGAAGTCATTGTTCTAGACTAGAGCACATAGAAATCCAACTATAATACTCCCCATACTGAATCATGGTGCAGCTACCCATGCGCCTATAAATCCAGCCTATTTATAGAAAAAAATCACAACTGAACAATAACAATGACTGTGAAACCCTAACGTTAAGTAGGACCTCATCTGGCCGTACCTGGAGTGTAGAAGCTCACGAAGGGGATAATGTCATAGCAACTATAACTAAAAACCTTGGTGCCCTGCCAGGACTTCAGATCAATAGTGTAGGTCCCATCAACCGTATACATGAAGACGACACCCACGGCATCTGCAATGGCAACCACAAAGAGCACGAGGGCATGAGCATGGAGCAGGGTCTTGAGCTCAATGTCTCTACTCAGTACCCATCCTCCTGCATTTCCATCAGGACCAATCTCTATTGACCAGAGTATGAGATTAGACTGCATGTCCACTTCTGCGAGCCCCAGCCCACCGTCGTCCATGGCCATGGGCACAATGCGGCGAAAAAAGGGAGTGGCTGGTAGGGGGATCAGAGACATATCCCTTGTGGCCAGATTGTACTTGAGCATTGTGATCCCCCTCTCAAAGATGAAGTAGAGTGTGTTCCCTGCTAGAGCAGGGAGCACCTCCCAATTGAGATGATCATATGTGAGCTGTGCAGCGGAATCTGATGAGTACACGCTGACAAATATCTCCTTGTCGTCAATGCCGATGAAGACGACACAGAAGTGGCCAGGATAGCAGCCTAGTTTGTTGCAGGCGCCATCGTTGATAGTGGTGCAGAGTACTGCAGCGGTCCAGTTGCGCACCGGCTGGTCACGCAGCAGCAGGTAGCGGCCACTGCTCGTCGGTGACGGGATCCCAGACGATGAGTGTGGCCTCCACTCCTTGGAACACATCACCGCACCGAGTGATCCTGTTGAGGAGGATGCGGCCGTGGCGGGCGTCATGCGCGCGGTAGTCGCGGTGGTCGGGCCAGGCCGACCGGAATGCGCGGGTGGGGATGAAGCATGCGTAGCCGCTGTTGTCGATGAGGTGGTTGCCGAGGAACCCTAGCAGCAGCGGTGTCCTGTGGCGCTCATGGTAGCGGTGGTGGAATCCGCAGCTCGCGAGGAGGCGGGCCCAACGCTTGGAGACGAGGGCAGCGCAGAGGAGGCACTCGTGGTCGTTGGGAGGGACGCAGAGGAAGATCTCCTCGACAATCTCATCTGGCATTCGTAGTGGTGTGCGGTGAGTGCCCAGTAGGTCAGGGAAGCTGAAGTCCGTGCTTCCGCTTCCGGTAGAGAGGAAACTAAGGGGCAATTTCTCCATGGATTTAAGGAGTGGTTTCCTGACTTGCGGGGGCCACGAGACTTAGACTATACTTTTTTGAATCACTTGACCTGTCAATAAAGTATTTTAAATATAAAACATGCCTTAACCTATAAGAAATTTATCAAATTTCTCGGCTTTGGCGACTGTCAACTGTCGAGCCCCCCGGCTTAGACATAGGCTTGTTGGCCCCGTGATGATAGACAATGGGTGGGAAGGTGATGCGGCTAAGTTGTCGCCATGGCGGCAAGGGCAGATGGATGAGCGGGGACATCAGTAAGAGCAACAGATCTTGGATAGGATTAGCATGGAGGCGACAAGGAGAAGTGGATCTGTCACCACATACATGGGAGGAGTGGGTGTGTCTTACCGGATTAGAAGAGCATCCAAACAGGAAGGCAGATCTGTGTTGGTGGAGTCAGGAGCGACGGTGGGGCTGTCATTGTGCGTCGGTGGAGGAGTTAGGGGCGACGATGGAGCGTTGGATAGGATCTTGAGCGCTTGTGGCCGTGGGTGGGAATGAGGAAGAGGATTTAGGGTTGAGTTTCTTATATAGAAATATAATCTTAATCTGTGACGTCTAATTCTAATCGGAGGGATTAAAATCTAACTAACTCAACCTTTCTAAATTTGTCATCAGATAATCAGACATGCATAAGAAAAAAGTTTATATGGAGTCCCTTTTTGTATTTGGGCTTGTGTTGCCTTCTACTTCTCGTAAGTCATCACTAGAGTATGAAACAATGAGTCTTTACTACTATAAACATATCGATGATTTTACCACCAACAATAACAATGGGATGTATCGTGCATAGAAGATCACATGAGTAGCATACATAACATAGAATTTATGCTGGTTAAGACCAAAGTGCCCTACATCCAGTGTATATGGGTGTTTGTATTGCTTCTATCACTACTGAATACAGACCTACCACGGCCGGTTCGCAACCCCCATCGCAACAGTTTTTTGGCCTCGGCAGTATACACTCGACAGTGATCCTCCTGTGCCGAGGCTAACATCATCGTCATGTGGGCATATCAACTACCTGTGTAGTGGTCACTAGCACTGTCGCCTTGTACTTCGACCCGACTATTTGCAGTATGGGTTCATTATCGCTTTGACGGTCGAGACGTCTGTGTAAAGATAAATATCACCATCGCTTCAGCGTATGAACCGTCGGTACAAAGGTCATGGTCACCGTCGCCTTGCACCATGATCTGCCTTTGATGATCCTTTAGTCGGTGTCGGGCTACTAAACGATTCGGCGGTAATACACTTTTGATCCCTGTCACATCATACGTATAGCGACGGTGTTGGACGTTTGCACCACCAACGACGGTGGTGATAACAAAACAATGATCGACCCTTAATAGCTTATTGCCAACAAAGCATACAGATATAATCATTACATCCATGAATCATGTTTACAGACAAGAGTACTTTTTACAATAACAATATATGATACCATAACATCTTTCTCAACCGATGTCCTAACACAAGTGGTATATAGATTGCATACTAAAGGTACTGATCTCTATAGACTTACATAACGAAACGACGTAGTTGTGCTCCTATGTGACACTCCTTGCAAGGCAAAATGAATATAATTAGTGCAACATTCGGATTGGTAGCCGATGCACCATGCAACCCCTCTTCTTCCTCCCTTAGCCAATGCAGGAAAAATATGTTCAAAAGCACTCAGACTCCACAACCTACACAAAGCAGTAGAATTAATGATATTCAACACACCATTCTTTTAGTTACTAAGCCCAAATTGGCCTAGATATAGAATCGAAGCAACTACCTATCTGAACAAAAACATGTCGTAACAACAAAAAACAGCATATGCACCTTTACTGCTCTGCTAATGACTTCATAAACAAGAGAACATAAGGAAGAAAATGAGGTCCACCGTTCATACATAATATTTTCTAGGTAGTTCTAGGATAGCCGATGGCCCAGGCAGGGAAGACATGAACTTTAATGTGGTTCATGCCATATGTAATCAGTGTTTTGTCCTCCCTAACAAGGAAAATCAAATTTCATTTTAGATGAACTGCAATCGCTCTATAAGCCACATTGCAAACCTCGGTACCAATTACTGTTCTGTCTAAATAGGTCCAGTGTGGTCACCTTATGCTTAAATGTCCATTTAATAGTACCATAGTTTTCAAGGATCTAGATTGAAAGCTCATACCTATTCAAAATATTAGCAGTATATAAACATAACTGACCATGAGCTTCATGGATGGAGATTGTATCACCACTTGGCCTATGAATTTTCCTCCATGTCTTTCCCTCCATATCAACAACACAACTATCTAGGAGAACTCCAGAATGTGCATAAAACCATTAAGAAACACACTTTTCCCATATGTGGATACTACAATACCCTTGCCTCATTTAGATTCTTTAAAGATCCAAGCTCTAGTTTTAGATGAGTAGATGTTGACACCTAAGAAGTCATCATCGTTGATCCCATATTCAAACACATGGAAGTATGAGAAGACTGTCGGATTGAACCCCAAGCGAGCTGAACCATAAGAATGGTTGCTACCTAGTCTTAGTCACTAGATGCAGACAACATAGTGAAACCCAACGTATCAGCAGAGGATGAGGCTCCAGGAGCAATCTGAGATCATGACATCCAAAATGAGGAAGGGCAAGAAGGACAAGTAGGGGTATTCATCGGTGACGCTGGCGAAGTTGCGTTTGCCTTTCCAGCTACCTTGGCTTGAATAGGACACCCTTGAAGATGGAGAAGCGGAGAGGAGTAGTTAAGATCCGTGTGATCTATGCATACATCATGGAAGACGCCGGTTCCCGGGGAAAGTGGTGAGATGGTGTTAGAAGTTGGGACATTCATTACTCACACCATATGAACGCGTATTGATAACTTAATGACGCGCAATATCTGGTGGACCAAAGGGACGGGCGCATGTGTACACGGGAACTTGAAGTTGCCATGCCAACTTACACCATATGAACGCGTATTGATAAGAGCGGTGTAGATAAGGGATCATTGTACTCGTAGATAACCGCTTCTTCGTAAATCCATCTATAAAAGCGGAAGCAGAACGAACAAGGGTACTGTCGCGGGGTTGGAACCATGGCAAGCATTGTTGTTTGATTTGGTGTCAGAGTACGTGTCTCCGGTGTCTCGGGTGGACTCAAGAACACAAGAATCACAGAGAGCACCCAAAATCATGGGGTGTTGATGGTAGTTAACACTTATCATAAACCATCAATATACCTTGTATAAATGACTAAAATGGATCACCAACATAGACTTAGGGGTTTAAACTAACAATTTTCATGAGTTTCTGTCAATATGTGTTTTCAACAGGATTTAATCAGAAAACCACCAAAGAGGACCTATTCATCAAAGGAAATCACATTAATCCGCGACGGTACTGTTGTGGGAAGACTCTAGAAGACTCCAGAGGGTACTCCACCGAAGCAGGGCATAAAACACTGACATGTGGGGCCGGTTAGCCCCACCTACTGGCCGGGCGACCTATGGGCCCCACCTAGCAAGCTCTCCTCGTTACGTCGGTTCTCCACTGCCTCAAGGATCACATCTTCGCTGTTCTTTTAAGTCGGTTTGATCCAAGGGTCCAGGATGCTTGAAGGCCCCCTATATATACCTGCCAGTACCCCCTCCTCCAAACAGATCCTGAAACCCTAGAAACCAAAGCCACAATTCATAGCCACTCCATCAGGATCAGAGCTAGCAATCAAGAGAAGATTAGTCCTCCAAGTTAGAATCCAGTCTTGTATTAGAAATAGAGAGATAGAGTGTGAGGGAAGAGTTTGGAGGAGTTCTGGTCCGTCGGTGCTCTCTCTATGGCTTGTACCCTAGCGGAATCAAGTTCTTCTTAAGCTTGCTTCTGAGATTTGTCTGGTAATCAACTTCTGATTCAAGTAAGTAACGTGTTTATATTGTTCTTCAGGTTTGCGACTCTTTTTGAGTACTTTAATCCTTGTCGCTCCTAGGTTAAAGTAGTATTCGTAGTGTAAGCATGGTGCTTAGACTCGGTTACTCGTGGATGTGCCCTACTTTCTAGGTCGGTGGTAGCTCACGAGGGTGACTCTTATAGCCTCGTTTAATCCTTGGTAGTCCACCTCCCGCTTGTAGGCCGAGCAGGACCTTGTTACTATAGGAAACATACTTTGCTTGTGTTTTACTTAGTAATATCCCCAAAATTGAACAATAGAAGACATAGCTTTCCAAAGTTAGAACTAGAAGACCTTAGCAATCTCTCCTACGCTCTTGTTATCTTAAGCCTTGTTGCTACTCTGGGTTAAGTTAGACTTAGTTATTCTCACACGTTTCCTTGAGTTTGATATTCTAGAATACTTTTCGGTGAAGTGCTACATCGGTATCTGTGTGCTTGTGGATTATTCTGTGTGCATTAAAATATACCAACAAGCATTTCTGGTGCCGATGCTGGAAAACGGTTGCTGAGTTAAGTTCAAACCTAGCTTAATCTTGTATCATTACTCTTTTATCTTTTATCTTTTTCTTTTCTTTTCTTTTCATTATGGATTTTGAATCCACTCCTATCCATCAACACGCTGCACCTATGAGCGCACACCGAGAGCCACTAGAATCTGCAAAATCTATCCTAACACCTGGCTATGAGCTGTGCTCATGTTTAATCAACATGGTCCGAGATCAATCTTTTTTTGGGCGAAGATGGTAAAAATCCATACTCTCACCTAAATGAGTTTGAGTAAACCTGTGCATGCCTATGCATTGCAGGCATGTTAGACGAAACCTTACGATTGAAGCTTTTTTCTTTCTCTTTGATGGGAAGAGCTAAACATTGGTACAAGAAAACCATAGGGAGTAGACAGAGATTGAGAAGCCTTATGCTCTAGCTTTTGCTTGTAATTCTTTCCCATCTCTAGAGTAGTCAGCCTTCGTTCAGGGGTTCTAACTTTTAAACAAAAAGAAAAAGAATCTCTAGGCACATCATGGGAATGCTTTAATGCT